CCTGCTTAGGATCCAGCAGTCTCTCCTCTCCTCCTGGGYCAGCTTTGCTGCTTGTCCGACCCCTCAGGAAGCTCACTGAGTCTGTTCCATCAACAGAAAASGAAGCCATCCTGCAAGTCACCCACCAGAAAAAGGCAAATATTTTCCTGACATTTTAGTGAGCTGCCCTTGCTTACCCCAAGGCTGGAGGAGCTCCAGGGATGAAGCAAGAGAAGGGCAGGTTGCCCAGGCGGGAGCAGGTAAGAGCAGGGGAGCTGAGACCTTCCAGGGAGCAGCTCTTGGGTCATCTCAGCCACCCCCAGGCCTCTCCCCAGCTCCTTCCCTGCTCCCGGGTGCCAAGTGCCTGGGGCAGAGCTCCACTTTTGTCCCAGCCATCGATACTGCTGTGGGGCACCACAAGTGGCACAGCTTGGGATTTGCAATGTAAAGAAGGCCATAAAAGCTCAAATGCCCTGTCCACCTTTGGGGTGTGGTCCCTCATCAGGAGCAGCTTTCTGAGAAAGAAAAGGAGGAGAGATTGCACTGATGCCATCAGTGTGTCTTTGTGCTCGCTCTGGAGGTGATAAAGGCCTCCAATCTGTGCTCCTGCCAGATGAGATGTCCCTTAAAGAAACCCACATTCCTCTAGGGCAAGAGGAACTGGCCCCAAAATGAAGCACCAAAAATTCCATGGGAACTTCAGGAAAAAATTATTGACAGTGAGGGTGACAAGACCTGGAACAGGCTGCCCAGAGAGGCTGTGGAGTCTCCTTCTCTGGAGATCTTCCACACCCGCCTGGATGCAGCCTGTGCCCTGTGCAGGGGTTGGACTAGATGATCTCCAAAGGTCCCTTCCAACCTTAAGGATTCTGTGGTTTAGCTTTGGTAGGTTCCTTAGTGTGCAAAACTGATTTACTCTTGATAGCATAGAATGAAGTAATACCTCTATAAAATACTGCTGTAAAAATGGCCATTAATTATTTTGTAGACTTTCTTCTGTATTATATCTGTTTCTATTGAATATTTCATTTTGAAACATTTTAGGAAAGGAGTAGTGTTCTTAAAATCGATTTGATAACCAAATAAAACGTTAAGTTAGTAAAGYTGCATCCTTTTCCACTTTCCTTAGGCCTGTATTATTTTCCTATTGGAAGTTACTGGAATGCTGCCAGTTGGGTTCCAAACCTGTAGTATGGTTATACTATAGGTTGGTGTATTTGGATACCACATAAAACAGTAAGGAAAGGTAAAAGCTTTTTGCGTGTGTATTGAAACATTTTTCTTTGTACATTTTTCRCTGGCTGCAACTTAGCTCAAAGATTTACTGTAAATTGCCAGTTATGTTTTGGATAAGTGTAAACACATTAATTGGCTCTATAGGGTGACATCAACACATTTTCTTTTTGCCTTAGGCCTCCTTCTTTAGGCTAGTCCTGCAATGCTAAGGCTTCATAAGCCTTTTTGCTGGCTCAGGCTCTTCCTAGAGTCRTGCTCTCAGTGCCCTCCCTTTTGTTGCCTGAAGAAGCTGATACCGCAGGTTATTGCAGCRTGGCAGTTTCGTAATGAATGATAAAGGTCCCCGCTGGCTTTACGTGTCCATCCCAAGGAAAGAACTGAAACCCGCTGCAAAGGCCGGTGTCCCGCAGGCAGCAGGGGCTGGGGACGAGTGGCAGGGCCCGGGCATGTACTGGATGGGAAGAGGAAGGGCAGGGAATGGCAAAGCAAGAGATGGATGCTCGGGAATATGGGGGTTGTGGAGGGGGAGACTCTGCTTTCCATGAGGAGAGCTACTAATGTGGGAGCGGTGGCAGCGGCCGGACCCGGCCTGTCCTTCCATCCCATTGTTCTTCATTGCCCTCTGCTGGCTCTGGCAGCCAGGGGATGTTGCCTTTCCCTTGTGCTGGGCCTGACGTCCAGGGATGCCCTGAAGAGCTTCCCTTCTGCCCAAAATCACATCCTTCCCATCCATGTGGGRTATCCCAATGCGCTCTGATGTGCAGCAGGAGAACATGCATTTTTCAGCTCTGGTGGGATTAGCTGGGATGGAAGTCAACACCTCAATCTTTAGGTACATTTAACCCACTGGTGAAACTGGCAGATCTCCTAGGACTCCGACATAAATCCCACCTTATAAAGCTAAAATATTTTTCACAGAAGAAAGCATAAAGACTAGCAGGGTCCCGTGGGCATTTTCTAACCTGGTTCTGCTGCGTGAAAGGTTGTTCTGTAGCTGGAGGTGCCCTCTCCTTCTGCAGGTGCAGCTCCCACTCTGCTGCAAGGAGGTAAAATAACTTCCACAGTAGCCTCATCCTCTGAACAGGCAAGTTTTAGACCTGTATAATATAATATATAATAATATATAGTCTCTGTACTCGAGAAGGTATTTTTGCAAGTTTAAGGTTGATCTGYTGGAAGCTGGGCTACATGGTCTTCCTTAGACCTTTAAAAGGGGGAGCARTTGTTATATGTGCTATTTCCTTACCTTAATTCTAATGTGAATTTCATTAACAGGTGCATCAGAGTGATCCGATTGCTGTTTTCTTTTAAGCTTGTAAATGGAGCAGTTGCAAAGCAGCTCTTCCTGATTGCTTTTAGTTTCTGCAACTTCTGCCATCTCTGCCCCTCTCCCCTCCTTGCTTTTGCCTGCTCCCCGTGTCGAAGATGGGGCCTGGCTGGTTCCTTAGTTACTGCTTCGTGCTGGAGGAGCAGGCAGCCTTAGGAGAGGAAGGTTGTGCTTTCTTCTCGAGGTGGTAAAATCCCCCTCATGAACCTCAGCATTCCAGCTTTGTCCTGACCCTGCTTTCCATCTGCCGTGGCAGAGGCTCCATCGGGCAGTTCGTGGCAGCGTGGGGGCCGGGAGCTGGGCARCAGAAAGGGCAGATGAAGTAAAATGCACCGGGAGATTGTTGGATTGGCGTAGGTGTCGCAGCCGGACACGTCATTTTGGAGCCCCACTTTGCTGCTTGCCCTGCTTCCCCATCAGGGTGGTACCTGGCTGGCTCCTAGGACAAGCAGCACAAGAGCTGGGTCTTTTTTTTTTTTCTTTTTTTTTCAGGACAGAAAAGAGAGGGAAAAAAAATAAAAGAAAAAAGAGAAGAAGCTGGCGGTAAGCCAGCGAGGAAGTGGGCAGCGAGCTGAGGCTGCCAACCTGTAATTGCATCTCTCCTTTTGAGAAGGGTTCTCCGGGAAATCATTATGGGTGGGCTCCTTTGATAGTGCTGTGGCTTAAGAGAAAAGCATCCTCCAAAATTACTCTTTAATTGGGAAGTCAAGAGACTATCAATTCCATCTTGGCGCTTCCGTTTGTAATTGATAATCGTGTACATTTAACTAACTTGTTATTTAACAGGGCCTCGTAGTTTTAATTCATCAGGCGGGCGATGATTCTTCTTTCAGAGGAGGTAATTGGGAGGTTGTCCGAGGGCACTGCCGGCAGCGCAGAGATGAAGCCGAGGCGGTAACGTGGCAGCCCCGCGGTGCTGCCAATGCCGTATCCCAGCGTTTGTGTCCTCGCCTCTCTGCTCTCTAGTAACCGCCTTCATCGTGAGGCACTGTAGTCCAGTAATCAGGTTGGCTTTTGTCAGGGACTGTTTAACAAAGTTTCACTCTCATGTGTTGCTGATATATTAAGGAGAAGAAAAAAAAGCCATTTTTTCCCCTCCATATAAAGTTAAAATGAACAATTAAGATCCAGTTTGGGTTTTATTCATCTATGCTGTTTCAAACGTGCAAGCATCTCATGTAAGGGCATGTAACTAAACGTCCTCCTGTCCAGGCTGCCTCAAGGTGGCAATACTAAGTTCGGTCTGGAATCCAGACTAAATGCTTGCTAGCACTGAAGTGAAGAGGTTGACTGCAGGGCCCTTGGGACTGCTCCAGACCTACACAGTGTCAGTTTTTCTTTTTGATTACAAAGCTTTATGGTCTTGAGTTCCTTTCCAGAGTCATTATCACATCTGTCACTGTCATTGCTGTCAGTGACCAAGGATGTTTTTAATGGAGTGATGCAATCCAGACTATAATACTTGCTGAAATCTGCTATACACAGTGCAAACACACTGTAGGGCAGGTGCTGCAATTATTAATAACTCCCTCTGATAGCATATATAGGCCTTCTATTTGGTTTTAATGTAATTTATTTAGAGTTATTTCTTCAGCAATTAAAATTGTTTTGGAGGGATTTTTTTTTTTTTTTGAAATGATGCAAATTTGCTTGCTAGAATCCTTCTCTCCTGGAAATGAGGCATGCATCTCCTGGGCTTCCTTTCACTCACACACAAATGAACCGCTAATTAGAAAGATGAAATTGCTGCGAGAGGTGAAACCTTCCAGTTGGCCAAAGAGAAGATTGTGGATTAATCCATGTGAAGCTGAGGGCTTGACTAAAACTGCTGTTCAACCTTCTGGTGCTAATGAGACTTGTGTGTCTGCCCTTCGCAAAGCTCAATGTGTGTCTTACAGCTCATGTGTGGAGACCCGAAGTGGGGCTCGCTCTTACAAGGCACTTCTTGCTTTCATCTTTGCTAATGACTTTTGGAACTGATCCTCAGCAATCCCTGTGAGGTGTCAGCAGCTTCTAGCATTGGCTGCGCAAGGCGCTTTGCTCTTTATGGACCACTTTTGTCCATGAAGCATCTTGAGAGGCGTATGGATGTTCAGAAAATTGCCGACTGTGATTTGGAGAGTTGTTTGGCTTGTGTACCCCATACTACCATTTTGTAGCCGTTCCTTGTTGGTATTAAGGTACTTGTGATCCTAATATCCATGTAAAGAAGGAAATAACTATCTGCATCCCTCTGAAATAGAGGCACGAAGAGGCTTGCTCAATGTCATCTTGGAGCACAAAGTCCAGTTTGGAGTTGCTTGTCCGCGCACTATTTGAGCTGCTGAGGAGGAGCCCCGTGGAGGGCCCGATGCGAGTCCCTCATCCTCTAACGCAGCTCRCTGCAGTCATCAAGAATATGTGCATTGAAAATAAAGCAAAGGCAAGTGTTTTTAAGAGTGGTTCCTCATGTTTGCAGGCAGCCGCCGCATCGTGGATGTGATGGATGTGAACACCCAGAGAGGAGTGGAAATGAGCATGTCTCAGTTTGTGAGGTACTACGAAACGCCAGAGGCCCAGCGTGAAAAACTCTACAACGTCATCAGCCTGGAGTTCAGTCACACAAAGCTGGAGAACATCGTCAAGCGCCCCAACGTGGTAAGAGAGCCCTGTGGTGATGGGCTTTGTTTCTAGCTTCTTTCCAATCACCTGTAGCTTTAGCAGGAATAAACTTGGGGATGCAGGGTGCACACTTTAAATCCAATGAGCTGAAGCAGCTCTAACTCCCATCCGTTTAGTGCTGGGATCTCCTTTTTATCTTAGCAGAAAGCTGGTCCCCTTGACAGTGGAACTTAACTTACAGGAATTAGGTATCTGATGAGCTCTTAATTATACGATTTGCACAGCTACCCAGCTCCTCTGAAGGTATTTAAGGGAAATTGCACCCAAAATTAAATATCTGTCCGTTGCCTTTTGATGGTTTTGTAAGTGTTAATGTGCAAATGCAACCTAATGCAAAATAACAATAGAGATATTTTTTAATGGAAAATATAAAGAATAAAGATTAGCTAATAATACATTAAAAGAGCAGTCTAAATCTGTGGCTTGCTGAGGATGGAGGTTATGGATAATCTCCAAAAGTGTCTATAGGTGGAGGGGAGGAAACTTAAAGCTATTAGGAGAAAGCTTAAATTCCTTATATATGGACTCTCCTAGCCACTGGAAAATGTAAGAGGGGTTATGAATCAAATTGAAAACACGTGTATTAAATATAGAAATTTAAACATAATTAAATGAGCATGATTACTACAGTAGAGTCGGGGGGGAAAAAAAAAAGTGGGTAGATTTGCATGGATTTTTGGGGKGTGCAGAACTCTGATTTTGTTACCCAGGGGAGTCAGCTGATGAAACCATGACACTGTTAATAAAGGTCATTYCATTCCTGTGCTCCAGCACTTCACCCTGCTTACTCCTAAACACTATCCTGATGACGCTACCCATTCTTTCACAGGGGCACCTCTGGCCTCTGCAGACAATGTAAACACCACACGCCTGAACAGGTCAAAAATAGATTGGAGAAGAGTTACTTGCAGAACTAATCCTTAAATAAGCATTTGTATCCTGTTAAGCACATGTTGCAAACGAGCCATGCCGTGCATTTTTAGCAGTTGGTGCAGGTTTTTGCTGTCATTGAGACCCTAGCTGGCAGTTGGGAAGTGCCCTGGGGAGTTTCTGGTGGATGTTCAGCTGATGCTGGGCTTCCCAAGCAAATCTTGCTCAGCAAGCTTCTGAAACACCTGTGCACATTTCCTGGACTCCAAGCAGTGGAAAATGCATTTAGGCATCTCTTTTTACTTGTAAATGAATATTTCTTTTTTTTTAAATGAGCAATATTTTGCTTACCGAAGGAGACATTGGCATCCCTATTAGATGAGGGGTAGAAGAGAGGAGGCCAGTAACTGAGAGGAAGTCCAGAACATGAAGTCTGATCCTGGCACCGTATTTGTAGTAGAGAGGCCTCTCGGGGCTGCAGAGCTTTTCAGTCCGCGTGAAACTGAAATACTCTATTCATGTTCCTTATTKCATAAAGGGTGTGGGATGGGGTATCAGAATGTGGGAATTATGTCAGAATCTGGTCAGTAGCCGCCAGTTTGGTGTCCTGTGGACCCAACTACCATGCACACCCTTGGCCAGTGCGGCTGGACGTCCCGGGGCGGCTCCGGTGGCCGCGAGGGGCTTCATGGGGTACCAGATCACGGCCTTGCTCCTGTATCTGCTGGCCACGTTACCGCTCCCCTTGCCCCATTTCACAGGGCTGTGAGTTACCAGCAGTACCTGGTGTAGACAGGAGCAGAGAGGGCCAATCTGCAYGAATTTCACGTGTTAAGGGCAGTTTGAGGAAGATCCCCTGGGATATAAACCACAAGGCTGGCTCCCCCAATGTCCTTGAGTGTCCCCTTAGAGGAATTAGCAGTCAGGAGCTGATGGAAGTGCAGCCCGTGACTCCAGTGGCCTTCTCTGTTCCTGCTGCAGACTATGCCTAGGTTAAGGCTTGGAGTCCTTATTGACCCTTGAGTGGAGGTTCATTCCTGTCGCCGTTCCCTGAGCTGGCTCGGGATGTACAGCCACGCTGTGGCCAAGTGCAGCACTACAGCCGCCCTCACGGGGCTCCTGCTGTTTTCCCAACATTGAAACTTGGTACGAGACCTGCTTGCATTCCAGCAAGGACAGTTATGGACATCTAGCACAAACTCCTTCATTACACAGACCAAAGAAGGAGTCACGAGCTTGTTCCTGCTCTTATTTTAAGGGACAGAGATGCTCGTCCATGCTTTAGGACCCAGTACAGGACCCGTGTCACAGCATCTCTCAATAGTCTTTGGCTCCYTTCTCCTCTTCGCTTTGCTGTGGTGTCATTCTCCGAGCTCAGCTTCCACTGTTTGCTCCTGCCCATGCTTTCCAAAGTTTGGCTTTTAGACAAGGACTTAGGTGAATTTTATACCCAAGCAGTACTGTAAGGGAAGCGCTTAGTAGGCAGTAACGTCATTACTCAAATCAAAATTTGRCCAGAAAAATAGAGTTCATCTTCCTTGAAATGTAAAGTATTGGAACAATCTCATCTCTTGTGTTTGTGTTCATTAATGCCTTTTCTAGAATGTTAGCTACAAAACTGCATTTGAATACAGACTAACAGGTGATAGTGTAAGTGCTCACAGGTGCCTCTCGCCAGAATTTGCATCCAGTTAAACTGGCTACAAAGCTCTTCTTGCTCTGGTTGGTGGAGTTGTGTCCAACAGGAGTGTGTCCTATCATGTGCTTAGTGACTAACAGGTGGTTTTGATGGGGATTTCAGGTGGACCTAGTCGACTGGGTGGATAATATGTGGCCACAGCACTTGAAAGAGAGCCAGACGGATGCGACCAATGCCATTTCAGAGATGAAATACCCCAAAGTGAAAAAGTAAGTTTGCTTAAGTCTTTAAAAAGCTCTCCTTTTGACCTCTTGGCTTAATTCCTTTCAGGCTCAAAAGCTAGTAGAAAAGCAGATATTGATTTATTTATTTGTGAGCAGGAAGGGGGCTTGATGTGACTGACCTGCTTGAGCTGTGTAATGCCAATGAGCTGCTCCTGGTCTTAAAGAAATCAGTTTTATGTTTGAGAACTTTATAATGGACCTTTCATGTCCTAAGGTCTGTCGGTGATAACTTCAAGAGAGGAACATTCTGCCTTTTTAATCTAAAAACTCATTTTAAAAGTTATCAACACATTTTATTCTCTTTTTATTGAGAATTAATCAATCCAAAGTTTGAGATTCATTGAATACAAACAATCTTTAATCAAATCCCTTTGAAAAATGCCTTTCTATTTTTCAGTTTTGAGCAGTTCTCTTTGTTCTGAAAAAGGCAGACTACCTCTGACCTTGAGCAGTAGATTCTTTAAAAGTACTACCCAAAGAAATTGCTTCACAGGATGCAGATATGTCATACAAAATAATCAAAGTCTTTCTTCTATAGGCTGGGTTCAAATCCTTCCTGGGTTCAATCTGATAATAGCTGCAAAGTTGTTAGCTGAGGGGCATTTTGTGGAATGAACTTGAACACATAAATCCATTTTTAATAGCTTGATGTCTCCACAGAAAACTCTGTCTCTGGCCTTTGTGCCAACTTATTTTCCTGTTGACTTGTTGGGCAGCAAGATCAAAGATTGGGCTTGCTCTGTAGAGAGGGATTTTTGTGTTTTAGAGGACTTAGTTTGGGTAAATTTGAGACAYAAGGACAATTTGCCCTGCTTCTGCCTGTCTTGGATCTAGTCTGYGGATGAGTATAACCTCACTTTTCCTTCTGTCTAGATATCTGACTTGTAGTCATTTTTATATGGTATTGAAAATACATATATGTGTGTATGTGTGTATATATATATATATATAAAGAGGTGGAGAAGGCTGGTTTATGGCACTGACAGTACAAACTCTTATCAGTCTAAAGAGGCAGCAAATGCTCAGTGCATAAGGGATGCTGATAGCTTGGGAGCATGTACTCACTGTGCAGGGTCAGGGCACAGCTCCATRGGCTTGTCCAGTTTAAACCTGAACTTCTTGAGAGATTACCTTTCTGCATYTTCAGAAATTAAGACTGACYCTCTTCTGTATAAATGTTAGTCTTGACTATTGTCTGAGTACCCGGAGGGCAATGAGCCCTTATTAAGGAGATGGTGTTCAATGGTGGAGCTAAATGTCAGGGCTGTCACTGGTTCATGCTGCCTGTCATTCTGTGCACAACACCAATACTCATATTCCTTATTGCTGATTGTTGTTCCTCAGAAATGGGATTTTCATCCCTTTTTGGTTGTTCACGTTCTCATAATGCTAAGAGTTTGCAGGATGCRATACCCACCGTTAGCGTGTTCCCTGCAAACAAAAAGCACTCCAGCGAAAGCAGTGTGGTTTTGCAGACACAGATGGCATTACCAGACACAAATGTCTGTCTTGGCTACTGTACGTCAAGTTCCGTGCTGGGAATGAAGTTAGGGAACGTTCCATCTGCTGTGCCCGTTCCGTTACCAGGAGCACTACAGGCACCGGAGACCGTCCTGGCTTTCACTTGGGCTTGCACTATTAACTTTAAAAAGAAAAAAAAAAAATGTAATGAGGTTATCTTTTGTCTGTGAGTAGATGACTACTTGCCCAATAGGAGCTCTAGAAAACGGAATAGGGAAATGATTTAAATCAAAAATATGTTAAACTTGCAGAGTATTACCTCTTAATTTTACAGAGTGAGATAACGTGAGAAATGAAGGGCCTGACTCCTGGGATTGTAGCGTGGCAAACTTCGAACTGATGCAAGTTGGCATTGCCCCTGAAAGAGAGCCCCGTGTCCGTGTTGTTCCGTCCCCTTTGCTAGGAGGCTCCCAGGCCGGCTTTTTTTCCATCCTTGGAGCTAGAACCTRTCATAGTGCAGTATGAGCTGGGCAGAGGGGCCTGCTCCGCATGGAAAAGGATGCGGAAACATGTGGACCTCTCAGGCCATCCAGACCCTCGTGTAGGTGCCCGTGTCCCAGGAAGGACAGGAAAGGACAGTGCAGGAGAGCGGGAGGCTCAGGGCRCTGGGTCCATGGGCCCGTATTGCCCCATATTCAGACACGACACCATGCATGGGGTGAGCTCATTGCCACCCAGAGCAGGAAGCCTCACCTCTCCTCTCCCCTCTCRCATGCCCCGGTGTAAGTTTGTATTTATTTACCTTGTGTTTATCTATTTCCCCTGTGTTAATGCCAGCATTTGTCACGCCCATCTGTGAGCCGATTTAGCTTGCTCTTCCCTTCCCCCTCCCAAAGACAAATCAAACCTGTGACTTTCTATCAGATTAGTGAGGTAAATCAGCTCAGCCAGGGGATTGATGAGCAGGGTGGCCCGAGGGAGGGCACTGCGCCGTGAGCCAGTGCAAATGCGAAAGGTGGAGCTGCCTCGAGCCTGAGCCCCGCGTTGAGGGGTTAGCTTGTTGGGTCACCTCAGACGCCTGCAGTGCTGCAGTCCTAAAGGTAGGAAACTGTGAGAAAAGGAAATTGGGTTTAGAACTGCTTCCTTCCTTCAACGTGCACCTTTTTCTTTGTTTTTTTATTTTACTCACCAAACGGCTCACACTTAGTTCTTTGTTTAAAATCAAGCTGGATTGAAACAACTTGCACAGCTGAACCAGAACCAAGCCCCAAAAGCACTAGTTTGGTTTCTCGTTTTCAGGTTAGATAGCCCTGCTGAAATGATAGGGCTCCTCCCTGGCTCTTTGAGAGTCTCACAAGGCTAAGAACGTAAAACCTATTTGCAGAGCAGTGGCAGCTGTGCTGCGATACAGTGGCTACAGGAAGAGTAACAGGTATTTCTAATAACTTGATATAAGTTTGCATTATGGAACAAGTGAAAACTAAAGCCGCAGTTACCGTAGCACCTTTTTTTCTCTCTCTTAAAAAGTTCTATTATTTAACATATCTAAGCACTGCTGTAACAGATCTTAGCATCATTGTCATCCTCTAGTTAAGAAGGACCTTATCCTTGCATGAAACATCTGCCTGTCCACAAAAGGCTGCTGCTCTGTTCCCATCCCCTGTGTAACAGCTAGCCCTGGTTTTCCTCTATTAGGCTGTAATTCAGCCATCCCWTTCTTTCTATTCATTCCTTCACTAAAGAGGCAGGGATTTAGGCAGGTGCTGAAATGCTTTGCTGCTCTGTGGTCTCCTTAGAAGCTGGGGCTGTGGCCCCGGAGACAGAAATGGCTCTTGGAATGGATGGATCCCAGTCATGCCAGGTGCTCCTATGCAATTTGCATCTCACTTGTGAATTGCTTTTGATGCAAAACTGCTATAAAAATGCATTAAGTGCTAGGAAACTAGACCAATAAGAAAACATGCTCATTCCAACTTATTAGATAAGAGAGCAGATAAAATCTGATGGCTTTGAGCTGATGCGCTAGGCTCAGATGCTCATTTGCACGTGGCTTGGGGAGCTTGCAGTGTCACACGTYCAGCTGCAGATAAGGCCCAGCATTTAACAAAGGTGTTTGTGCTGAGCCCAGAGCTAGAAAGCCGAGTTGCGGGGAAGAAATAACGAGCTGGGTTCCCACAGACACYGCGATGTTGCTCTGTTTGTGGACGTGGTTGTGGGGCAGGCAGGCCAATCCYGCTATGGAGAGGGGGATCACCTGGCTTGGCTGCGACCACCTGCTTGGCAATTAAAGATTTCAATTAAAAAAAGAGGCTCCTTAGTTCTTGAAGTTCGAAGGGAGCCTTTCCAGCCGAGCAGCTGGAGCAGCCAGGTTTGCAGGCACCTTGAAGCGGTAGCTGGGTGCAGCTCAACCTGTCCTCCGGGAGGGCTGTTCCTGCCCAAATCCCATTGCAGGGAGGCAAATAACCGGCTGCCCGCGAGGTCCCCGTGCGTGTCCCTGAGGGTTGCTGGCAGTTCTGGTGCACGGCGGTGCCACTTGCTCGTGTGGCTCCCGGCTCTGGTGTTTGGGGACAGGGCCTGGCCGGCGGCACCCAAGGTCGCCCTGAGCCGATGGCCACGGGTTCCTTGGCGCTCGGGTTCCCTGGCACTCGCCCTCCCTGCGGAGAGGCCTCAGGGCAGTCCTGGCACTGCTGCCTCATGCGCTGGGGTGGATTCAGTTTCAGCCTGGGGGCTTTCAAGCAACCGCCGCGGCTCCGGAGGAAGGAAGCGGCCACGATACCTTCCTCATTGGCCCAGGCGGCAGCCGGGAGCCTCTGCCGGGCTCTGGGAGCGGTTTGGGGGCCAAGCCTGGTGCCGGGGGAGCCCCTGCGATGCCAGAGGGAGCGAGAGCCCCACGGCAGGCAGGGGACGAGGGTAACGCCGCCCGCCCGCGCGCCGCCTTTGTCTGCCGCTTGCTCCTGCGGGCAGCGGAGCCGCGCGGCCGCCGCACCGGCCCTGCTCCCCCTTCGCCTCCTCTCCTGCTGCGCCTGCTCTTTATCCTCGGGGGGATCTCTGTGGTGGCTCCTCCCTGCAAGTTTGCAGGTTGCTCCATGTTTCTTCCCATCCTTTCCCAACTAGCAATTTCCCCACTTTTTTTAAGGAAAAGAGGGGGGGTGCGGAGCCCCCCTAACCCTATACACCACAGATSCTTCCCCTGAAACAACAGGGCATCGACTTGAGCAATCTCAGACGAGAGGGAAGGCAGACGCAGCTGGGCAGCAGGGAAGGGGTCCCCGTGGGTACAGGCAGCCGTGTGGCAGACGCCCTGTGCGAGGGACACCCGTGGGGCTACTGTGGTAGCTGTAGTGAGGAGGAAATCACAACGTGGGGCATCTTCTGCAGCCACCAGCGCTGTGAGCATCACCGCAGCGGCCTCGCATCACCCATCGTGGCCCAGCCGTGCACGGAGGTTTTCCTTTTCTTTCAGCACCCCCCCTTTTTTTTTTTTTTGATTTTTTTTTTTATGTTTTATTGCTTTGTTTTGGAAAAGTCTTTAAAAAAAAAATATTTGTGCCCTTACCGCAAGCAGCCGCACGGCCCGTGTGACTGCGGAGCGCGGCGCAAGAGGCAGCGGCAGAGGTCAGTGCAAAGGCGCTGTGCCCGGCACTGCTCATGGTGGGCAGTGCAGGGCTAAACCCTCCCATTCATTCTTTTTTTCCCCCCCTTTCCACACATTTTGGAGGTTTTTTATTTGCCCCCGTATGTGGCTCTTTCCGTAAATGCACCTTTCTCGCAGTGGCGTTGAAGGGAGTTGCAGGAAATCGGAGGGAAGCGAGGCAAACGCAGGAGTAAATTTTGAGCACTTGGGATTTGATGAGGAATTTAATGCTGGTGTTTCCTCTCTCAACAGAAACAAATCAGCGGCTTTGAGGTAAGGTTATTGGTTGTAAAGCRTGAAATAAAACATGGACTAATGTGTGGCCGCTTAGGCTCTACTGGAATATCTCCATGCAAAGGGGTCGTTTTGGGTGGGAATCACTGCCTTAGCCAAATTTTGCTAATGTGATTTATTTCATATCTGACCTTTTGGAAACCCAAAATAATGGGTTTGTAAGGATTTTATTTTTCACTTTAAATAACCCAAACTAATAGCGAACTGCTGCCCACCCATGCTACATGCACAGGCGTTGCACGTAGCTTTTTGTTATATTAGCAGTTATTCAACGTGGGACTCCCTCCTGACTGTAGGAGAAGCACCTTCCTTTCCAGCCTTGTTTTATTGTCCCCCGTTCCCATCCGACCGGAAACCAGCGGCATCTCAGCAGAGAAAACAGAGGACGAAATAAATAGAAAGAAAAGGWATTTGAGAGGCAAGGACTCGTATTTTGAAAGGAGCCATATTGCGAGCGCGGGCAGCAGCGTGGCCAGCGGTGATTTTGGTGTTTTTCCCCTGTTTTCCCTGGGCGCCGCGTGGCCGGGGGCGCAGGGGCGGCGGGCGCGCGCTGCACCGCGCTGCGGCGGGCGCAGGACGGCGGCCGGGCGCAGCGCTGCCCGCGTTGCTTAGCACCCGCCGCGGCTCTGATTTGCCAGCCTGCCGCAGACACATGGTGAGGTCCTCGCCAGCCTATCATCTAGAGGGACTTTTGCACGCCGGCTGCATACTGCTCAGCTCCCCTACCTGAATGTGATGAGAAAAAGACACACTTACATGAAAACGTTTTTTTTTTTTCCTATTTTTTTTCCCCTCCCCTCTGCAAATCCCTTTCTGGTGCTGTTCCATAACCGCCCCCCTCTTTCTCTTCCCCCCCAAAAAGCCATGAAACGGCGACCGGAACAAGGAAAAGAGGTTAGTGGGTTAAGTGGCGTGTGTTTCCTGCGTTCGCCAAGGTGCCTGCAGCGCGGAGGGCGGCTGCGCTTCGGCCATTAGTTACGGCTGGGGGCTGGAGATCCGCGCGGCGAGGCGGGCGCTCCCAGCACGGCTCACCGCAAGCTGCTTGGAAAACAGGAATCGAGAAGGCATTAACAAAAAATACGGTGGATTTGGTACTTTGCAGTGCTGCCAGCTGGTGCCTTTATGGTGKTTTTTTTTTTGATGTAGGAATGGCTAGAGATGTGGCAAAACTGAATTCATTTGCTGAATTGAGGTTTCTGTCGCCCAATTCTTGCATTAGCAGCAAGTAGGTAATAAACACCGAGGAAGATATATGAAGAAATGAGATTTTTTCAAAACTTTGGTCTTTGAAGCAATTTGTGTACAACTTTGGTGAAGGTTATGTCTCGTGAGCGGTGACGGAGAGCATTAAACAGATCACCCTGGGGGTAGGCAATGGCATAAGAAATATTTCTGAAGATGCAACTTTTACTGTTTTTCCTTTCTTTAACTCTGAAAGCTTTCCTTCCAGGTGTGGGAACAGCAAGCTCAAACTCAGAGATGCATATTTTCCAGCAGAAACCTAATTAGAGTTGCTTCATGAGGCAAAAAATAGTACAATAAATGCAAAAACTTAATACGTGGAGGTGCTATCGCTGTTGAAGTTACATCTGCACATCAAGACATGAAAAATACTGTTTCGGACTGATTTGTTTCTGTTCTCCGCTGTGTTTTCAGGTACTGTTTGATGAGTGTGAAAGGATGCTTCACTGATTTCCATATTGATTTCGGTGGCACTTCAGTGTGGTATCACGTTTTCCGTGGGGGGAAGGTAGGTGAACCTTGCTGTTTGATATTTTTATTTCTTGCTGTTTGGTATTTTGATTTCTCTGCACCTCGTATGGGGAAAGAGGAGCTGCTTTCATTCTCTGCATCATCATTATTATTGTTTTCCTTTTGCTGGGCAGTGATGGGTCTGTTTCACTTAGCTTTGTTGTTGTACTTAGTTTGCTGAACTAGAAGGGCACCCTTCCCCTAATGAAAGAAGCAAATAATTTATTCACATAATTTATTTAAAATACTTGACGTGTCCTTTGGTGGCGGTTTCGGGCTCGCTGCTGCTGCGAGGTGTGGGAAGTGTCTTGCGGCACGTACGTGGCTGCGTGTACCCTTGTCGGGTCAGAGTGCCCTCAGAAGTCTCCTCTGGAGCTTCTCAGTTTCCCCAGAGATTCCAAGTTCCTTTATTGGGTACTCATGTACACCTGAATGGAAACAGTGCAGGATACGGAAATATTAAAATATACGTCATATACGGCTACACTCAGGAACTTGTTTTAGATTRCTGTTCCCATTTATAGTGCTCGTAGGGTATGGTAGACATGGAAATAAATACAACGGATTGATCATCTCTGGGGAATGAGTATTGTCCGCCTGTATGTCYGGTGGAGGTGTAGCCTGCCAACACACAGTTTTCGACTGAAAATAGACCCTGTGGAAGCATCTTCTGAATAAGAGGTTTCATGGAAGCGATATGACAGCTGACAGTTATCTTGCCACTTCAAGCATATCTTCTTATTGCTGCTGCTGTGGGCCTCTGCACACAGCACCTGCAAAACACGTATTTTATGCAGAAAATAAATGGTGCTGTATTTATTTCTTTGACATACGATAGACTTGTTGGAACTTCTCAACTATTTTAAATTTTGTTTACTATYGGTAAGAGTTAAATCTTTGTTTTATTTTTAGATCTTCTGGCTGATTCCGCCTACTCTGCAGAATCTAGAACTTTATGAAGAATGGGTCCTCTCAGGAAAGCAAAGTGATATCTTCCTGGGAGACAGGGTGGAGCGATGCCAAAGAATTGAGCTGAAACAAGGCTATACGTTCTTCATTCCTTCAGGTATCTCTTGTTAATTAGCTGCCTTTGCTATCACTGGGATTGTGCTTCACTAACAGTTCTTGCCTGTAACACAAAACTTTGTGTTTAAACCCCTCGTTGGCCTCTCTATTCGCAGTGCCAAAAGATAGGCCAGGCCTGAATTTCCTGGGAATTGTACCATACAACGTGATAGAAATGTACTGGTGATAAAGCGTGTGCAGTGATCCGCTGTTGGGTGCCAGAGAAAGACAGAGAGGACTTGGATCTCAGGGACTGTCAGTTGAGAACTTCTTACCAGAATTGCTACAAATTTTTAACTGTTTGGGTGGTGGGTTTTTTTTTTTTTTCAGTAATCTTTGGCATTCTTAGAAAAAATATCTTTTTCTTTTTAAGTGCTGTAAGTGATCTTAAATATATTTGACTGTTCAATGAGCAGAGTCGTGACCTCTTCTGGCAGGTTTCACCCGTTCAGTAACCTTCCTTGCCTCTGCCTGTAAACAGAGGTGGTCTTGGCCCCATCGCAGACTCCAGGGGCGACTGGAGGTGCTGTGCTGGGCGACTCTGCTCCCTCAGGAGGCCCTTGGGGGAACGACTGTATCTGATGGCAGTAACCTGTCAGTACTTTGGCTGGAGACGGGGCTGGATGTCTCGCAGGAGCCCGGCCACGCTTTGGTTTTGCTCCATTGCCCACCTCAGTGGCTCTGTTGCATCATTCAGGCTGCTCCTGCAGAGCAACCTAACGGCTGCTCTTTTGAGGGTTGGTGGCCTCAGCCCTTCTCTCTGGCCTGAATTGGATTAAGGATCACGCAGGCACTAACACTCTTCATTTAAGATAATATGAGGCTTTGCTCTCTATTATGGAACTGTAAGTCTGTTTATATGCTATAGTGCCTTGCCTTTGTCTAGTTGAACGTACCTGGGCAATAAATACTGGTAGCCTCTTTCCTTGATAGAGGGACATGTTGGTGGTTCTCCAGCTTCCAAAATTACTCTGTGGAGATAGATTTTGGATTTGGGGTTTATGGTTTGTTTGTTTGTTTTGTTAATTTGGAGGCAGAGGGAATGCAGGGTCACAAGAAGGCAGTGATGATGTTCTTGCTGACTAGGAAGCCTAGTTGGTGTCAGCTGAAAGGCCTAAACTTTCTCATTTGATGACTGTTTGGTAAGAGCCAGGCTGCGAGGTGACAGGCAAAACGACTGTGAGGGTGGAGGAGCTAATCCAGGAAAGGAATTAGATCTTCCCTTGCAGCGGGTCGGAGTGTGCCGTAACTGTCTGCACTGGCTGTGTGAATGTGCTGTTTGCTTAGACCCTGTAACTGCCTCTGCTTGTCCACGTGCCCTCCCTTGCGAGCAGCCTCCTACGAGCGACGCTTCCCTTGGGATCCCATGGGCTGGGGAGCTTCTGCAGGCACGAACTCAACGTGGTGCCCATGGGCACAAGCTCCATGTGCACAAATGGCAGCAAAGGGGCTCCTTGCCGTATTATAAAGGCATATATGAATAACTTCTCCTAAGTCCGTCCTATGGATTCCAGACTTCCTGCTCTGCTGTGTTTTGTCAGAAGCAAAAATCTCATCCATGTGACAAGCTGGGCTCTGGGTGGCCCCTTAGGACTTCTCCAAAGGAGTGCTGCACCCTCCCGCTTTGCCGCTTCCCAGCGGGGAGTCGAGGATGACCAGCTCTGCTGAAGGCTGTGTTGAACTGATGGAATCCGCTAGGAACCTGCCCTTTCCTGTTCTCCAAGCTTCTGAACTGATGCCACCATTTAACTGTTGACTGAGAGATGTCCCGCTCAGTGCCCGGCACCCACCCGCGGCGGCGCAGCCCAGCGAGGCGCTCACGAGAGGCAGGAGCTGCAGTAATTGCCTGTGTCAACCAGCGATGCTTTTCTGTCAGCGTCTGACTCCTGTTTCCCTTGGATCTGAGACGTGTCCTTGTGCAGGAAACCCTTAATAGGGAGTGCTGCGACCCTGTGGTATCTGTGCTGTCTCTGTCATCACAAGCACTTTTTAATCCATCCCATGGTTGGGTGTTGACGCAGATGACGTTTGGCCAAGGTGACTCTTGGTGCTCCGATGCCACGGGCAGCAGCTGTGGCACATCTGTCTGCTCCAGCTGCCCGGTAGAAGGGAAGTGGTGCACAAAGAGAGCTCTTCTCCCTCCAGGTGTAAGCTGTGATGCTCCAGCAGAGGAGGAGCACAACCTCAGTGCTCACCCGCTGTCTTCGCAGAGGAACAACCACGTTTTATCAGTCACAATCAAACCTGGGGCTTGTCTGCTGTTCTTTGTGCTGTAACTTTCTTCTCTCCAGTGATGGCTTGCAGGGAGGATGTGTGGAATGAAGTTTGTGGTGGTGGTTGTGCAGAAGAGACTTACAAATCTCCTATCAGTGTGTGAGGGACCTACCAAGCCAGTGTTTGGGCAGAAAACCTCAGATTTCTGCAGTTTGGGGTTTCTGTGGCCACTTGTGTGGGACTTGCAGCCACTTTCTTCTTCACTGATTGCTCCTCTGCAGCCTGTTTGAAATACTGCTCACTAAGTTAATGCAAAAGTCCTACTCAGGTTTGGAGTATACTTAGTGCTTGCCCTTTTACTTCAAATTAAAGTATTTTTCTCCTTTTGCAGCTGGAACCTTTCTCTCTCTCCCCTTGCCCTTCACCTGCAGGTCTCATCTTTGTGCTCTGTAAACCATCTTTTACTTTTATCCTTGCATTAATTTTTCTGGTGGTGCTTTATACACTGCCTTTCCTTCTCATCTTGATGTTCTGACCAGCACCTCGGTTTCTCTTGGGTACTCCTAAGCTTTACTGTTGCCTAAACCCAAGTTCAAAACTAAACATGTGCAGAATGGGAGCTTCATCCCATTCCAGTCCACTTATTCCTTTGAGAGAGAGATCTCTAGGCAAAAGTTGAGGAAAGGTCCCCGAAAGCAGATCGTTTATGTGTGTGTTTTTATGCTTGGTGTGGACTCTTGTGTCTAAAATTCAAGAGTGTTTGCAAGATCTGGAGAGGCAGAAACAGGCCAGCTAGTAGCCTGTTGTGGATAACCTGTCTTGCAGTGTGCTCGGCTCCCTCGTTAGTGCTGTGAAGTCAGAGTCTTGTGACTGTGGGCCTGGAAAAGCTGAACCCAGCAGGTGCTGATGCTGTTGCCTGCTAGAATATGGGTAAATGTGGATTTTCTTCTCCTTCTGCGAGGACCAGATAGGGCGAGTGGCTGTCACCTGGACGTGGCAGCTCTGCCTCCCTTCGGGCTCGTCTTGCTGCGCTCTGTTACGTAACAGCCGCCGTTCACCTCCCTGCCAGTGTGAGCTCCTGGTTTTACTTGATTTTTTTTAATGTTTTTCTTTTTATTATTATTGTTGTTGTTATTTGTAATGCTCTTTGGGGCCTTTCATAGGGAAAGATGCTATTATAATCTCTTTAATTTCTGGGAAATTAAGGAGCCCCAGTCTAACCACGTTTCCATTGTTCTGCGATGGTTACTGTGTTAACGTGGGACTGCTCCAAAGTTCCTGTTTTCAGTCAAATCCTGAAATAAGGACTTTTCCATGATAAATGTTTTGGGGAAAAGTGAACAAAAAAAAAAGATGTTTTATGCCAGGTTCTAGGCAGTGATTTGGAAGGGTTTGGGGTACTTAACCCCTGGGCAGGCGGCATGTGATCAGTGGGGTTCTGCTTCTTTCGAGCGTGTGGTCCTAGGTTGCCTCTGCGGTGCTGGTCGTTATGCGATGAAATATTCTGTAGAAGGGCCACAAGCAGCACATAGCCCTTGTCCCAAGGGGAAGGACAGGTTATTAAAATCAGGGCGAATGTTTTGCAGGGAGCTGCACGGGGCTGCGGAGCTGCCCAGCTATTTCCGGCTGCTCTCTGCGCTTCCCGGTGCAGGATTTCCCCGTGGCACTAATGGAAGCGCCTGCSTGGGAACCTTTAGGGACCCAGCGACGGAGAGGAGCCGAGAGGAGGGTTTTTGCCTTGAGTGTCTGCTCTCTGATGGAAGGTGACAGCTTCTGTGCTGTTCCTCTACAGTGCTCTACTTAATCCTGAGCAAATGAAGGTCCTGAAGGAAACGTACAGCTATGTGTGGGGAGAGGGTTTCGGGGGAGGAATTTTCTCCAGATTTTGCTGGTTGAGGCTTTATACTGTAAACAAAACCAAGGTGGTTCATATGGAAAGGTGCCAGTGTGGGGGAGAAGAGGCGAGGGCTAATTTGGAGCTGGTTTACGTGGCTAAGTGGCCCCGGGAGTAGYCGTGTGTACGTGCAGAGGATGCTGCTGTCGCGCGGGCGGCTCCGCGGGTCTGTCCGTGATGCAGTGCGGAGCTTCCCGCCTGTGTGCAGGGCCCTCCCAGCCAGGAGCCACGCACTGGGCGGGCTGCTGCCTCTGACGTGGGGGCCCTGAATCCCAGYGGGGTCCCTGAATCCCGGTCGGATCCCTGAATCCCAGTCAGATACCTTTCCGCATCCCTGGCACCAGCCAGCCTGCTTGTGCTGTAGGACAACGGTGCCCAACTCTGCTGCTACTGGGTTTAGTATTTAGTTCCAAGCAGATGAGCTGTCTCATTTYTGATTTTTTTTGATGAATTGGGTTACTTTGCACCTCAGTGCATCATCTGAAAGTTATGAAGACTCAGATAGCATCAATTAGGAGATCCAAGGTGTGCTTATAGTCTTGGAGAGCAGAATATTCATAGCRGTTCGTTTGCTGAAAGCAACTTAATGATGTAAGATTGAGAGTTGCCATAGCACTTGTATTAAGGAGGACAAATTGCTTTTTTATTTTTACTTTTAAGATATAAACTTGATGTATCCTTGATCTATTCAGCTGTACACGCTCTTATGACAGAACCAATCCTCTTCTGAAATGAGAGAAATTGTCTTGTTTTTCTGTCAGTGCCCACTGTAGGATTATCTTAGTCATTTATTTTGATTTTTATTTTTGATAAATATATATATATGTATTTTTAAACCACAGATTGCTGTGGCATTGCAGGAAAGTGTTTGTTCTCTATATCATAAAGCAAAGTATCTGCTCAGTTAGTAGTGGATGCAGATACACCACAGGCTTGGTTTGGAGTTTGCCATCTGCCCCATAGCCTKATAGTTAATATTCTCTTTATTATTCTCAGTGGAGTGACTGCATCGTTGATGATACAGTCGGAATTTTACAAGCCTTTGAAAAATTCTCACAAGTTTGCAATGTTTAATGATACTTGTTTCATAAAATTCTACAGAATAATGAGATTATATCTTTCTTTTAACTGTTCAGAAAAGCTTTTGTTATTGTTAATTTTACCTTCTTGATTTCCTTGTGATGATAGCATCTAAATATTCAAGTGCATCTTAGGAATAATTCTTTGCTGTACATCACATGAGGGAATTTCTGGCCATTGCGAATAACATTCCTGCTCCGTGTTGGCTTCGCTTCCTGGAGTAGGATTGTTTTGGGAAAGAAAAAAGTAACTGATCACCAAGAACTGAAATAAAATAGATCAACTCTGGGGGAAAAAAACAAGTGCAAGTGGATGGTTCTCTTGGGGACCCTTGGGATGAGGGCTATGAACAGAGTTTATGCAGCTCCTAATCCCTTTATTTATTTATTTGTAAGAGATAAGGAGAAAARGAAACTTGTGGCATTTTGTTCTGCGCTGCTCTGCCTAGGGGAGGAACCACTTTTCTAACCTTGCCTGTAATGGGCTGTACCCCTGGAGCGCGGCTCCTCGTGCCTGTGCCTCTGCTCTCTCAGTATTGCACTTAGGCTCCCCCGGCAAGTGGAAACTATTTTGGGATGCAGTGTGGCTGCAAAACAGAGAATGGGATGTGGATTAGTGGTTAGGGCTCCTTAATGTCGGGCTCTTTCTGCCGCTGCTCCGCTGTGTCCATGGATGCATCACGTCACTTTTGTGAGCAGCAGTTTGCTCAGCTCTGAGACTGATAATTAAACTCAATTATAACACAAGTTGACCCTGGATTTCCACACTTATTGGGTAAGTCAGCTTAAGCTGTGAAGAGATTTTTATAGTATTGATGTGTGTAGCTGTTATGATACCTTTATGGGGAATAAAGATTTGCTGCAGTTGCTTGGTAGTAAATACGCTGAATTATCAGGAGTGACTTCATAAGTGAAAATATGCTCTAAGTAGAGTAGGAAGAGCAATACCCAGAGCTGCCAGGGCCACGGGGCACCTGCATTCCTCCCTGCGTCACATTTATCATGTGGAATTAGGCTTAAAGATTGAGAAAAATGTGTCCAAAGCGATTCTCCCGAGAAACACAGTGTGGATTTTCTTTCCTGCCTCTCTCCTAGCAATATGCCCTTGAATTACAGCCCTGTTAGGCTGTTTGCTGGGGCCCAAGGACTTCTTGGGTGTCTCTGCAGGTCATAACGTGTGTGGGGATGGCTGCAGGGGAGGCCTTTGGTGGCAGCTCCCCGGGGGTCCCTCAGCCTGAAGGGGTTTTTCCTGCTCCCTCACTGATCTGGAAGTGATGGAGATCAGCTTGAATGAAGAGCAGTGCCCAGATGGGAGAAAAAGGAGCACCCCCGACATGGCTTTGCTGGCTGCTGGTGTGTAATTGCAATGCTTTTCATTAACARGGTGGGGAAGGCTCAGGTGTCCGTGGCTCCCTGGTCCTTAGCGGGAACAGTTCCTCAACTGCAGAGACCAGAGGCTGCAGGGCCAGGAAAGCTGCCCACATGGTGACATTGCTGCTCTTGCTTCAGAGCCCRTCCCTCACGGGACTGGGCCAGAACAGTCTGCTCGCCTTGAGGAGCAGAAATCTGCAATTAACGTTCAATCCCTTGACTTGGGACTTCCAGGGAAAAGATTTTCAGTTGCCTGCATGTTAATAGGATACAAAACGTTCCCGGCGGAGGGAGGGCTGGTCATAACCTGAACCTGGTGACGTCTGAGGATGAGCACTCTGGAGGGAAAGAAGTTTGACGTGACTTGACCACAGCCCCAGCCCACCACCCTGATCCGCAGCCCGACTGCAGGTGCCGGGAGATGCATCCCGGAGCCACGATGCAGAGGAGACCACAGTCACTCTTTAGTCACGGATGTGCTCGAGTCACAAGCTTGCTTGTTCACAGTAAACACTGCAACTGCCCTGTGGATAAATAGGAGAACCGATTTACAGAGGGCTGTAAGGCTGTCCACCATAAGATGTCTTTCTTCTGCTCTTGCTGCACTCTTTAATAAAGAGTGGCTAGGAGCATACTGTTTTAACCTTCTGCTGCTCTATCCTTGCTCATTCCCCACAAAAAGGGGTTCATGGGGTTGTGAAAACTTGCTTGTAAATTGGTCTGTAACGCTGCATAGCATGAGGCATTCTCAGTTCTTTGCTTTCCCTCTCTAGGGTGGATTCATGCGGTTTATACTCCAGTAGATTCTCTGGTGTTTGGTGGAAATATCCTGCATAGCTTTAATGTTCCCATGCAGCTTCGCATCTATGAAATTGAGGACAGAACAAGGGTAAGGACACTCGCTTCTCTTTTTAACTGAACAGTTCTTTGTGGCTGTGATCTGTCGTAGTCTCTTTAATATTCCTTGCTGAGAAACGAGAACTGACGGGATCTCCGTGTCAGAGTCGTTGAAACAAGACAGGTAAACATGAAGCAATGAGACTTTCAAATGTTGGCTATTTTTAGTGGGATTTACTCATCTGTTTTTCCCTGCTTCTCACAGACTTGTCCCGTCTATATCTCTTTGCCTGTTAAAATTTCATAAACACCTTCCCTTTTGCACCAAGAAATGTTGGTCATTACAGACCTTTGTGCCAGTACTTCTGGTAGCCTCCTACTTAGTGTCTCTCTGGGTRTGCCTGGAGAGGAAGTCCAGGGCTGGAGAACTACCAGGACTGGCATCTTTCTGCTCCAGCAGGATTGGGAAAGCTGCATAGAAGCTGCGAATGAAACAATGTCCCCTGCACTCCGCAGGATTTTCTTCTGCAGTGACTCCACACTGTGCAGGACCTGCCTGTGACAGAGAGCCCAGGGTGGGATGCGGAGCCCCAACGTTGTGATGCTCCGCTGGCTGTAGCATCCACCTGATGCTGGAGGGTTGTATCTGGGAAAAGGGGGCTGTGCAGGCTTCTTGCTTGGCACAGAAAATCATGACCTGGATCAAGAAACTGGGTGCCTAGGCAGGGTATACCTTGCAGTTCTGTAAAATAACAGAATCTGGAGGAACTGATATCATTTTAGTAGCTATTAAATAACTCATACAAGGCAATGGTAGTGTTTTGATGTAAAGATGGACCTGTTGGCTGTACCAGTTCAGGCGGAGACATTTGGTGACTGGCTCTTTTGGAAAGCGTAGCACTGGGGTGCCAAGTGCAGTGTGAATGGAGATTTGGGCTGGCAAAACGACAGGGAGTTATAATGCATCTTTGCTAAAAAATCTTAAAATGGTACGTGTTGAACATCAGGAGTGTTTRGTGTTACTTACCTCTGCAAAGGAACTCAATCTGGGTTCCAAGTGGGATTTTATCCCAAATCCAGAAGTGCTCCCGGCAGGAAGGACGGGCACTGGGGTGTCTCTGCTGGGCGCTGGTCCGTTGGCAGGAGCTGCTCCCTTCCTCTGCAGGCCACACAAGGCCCYGAGGGCTTTGCTTTGCGTTGCAAGGCGCTGCAAGGAGCAGCTGGTTCCCTYGGCTGGATTTTAACAACAGGAAGGCCCCTGGATGGGAAAATTAATTCCTGCTAGAAGAGATATGAGGACAAGAGCTGAAATTCGCAACGAGTAGAAAGGGTCAAGCAGAGGGAGCATAGCAGAGAGCAGAGTGGAGGTGAAGGCCAGTGTTGAGTTCAGCCTGGCTTCAGATAAGAGACCTAGAGCAAGAACTTGGGGTGACATGAAAAAAAAAAGGAGCAGAGGGACTGGAACAGGAGGCAGTTCTGATGGCAGAAGCAGAAGGGTCTCACCAGAATCTCCAGCAGAGTGGAGGGAGACGGGATGAGCTCTAAGGGGTGCTCTGTGTCTGGCCCTCCTTGGGGGGTCGAGTGTGGCTTCAGCTGCTTCAGATCTCCCGAGCAATGTGACGGGAGGCGGATCTGACCACGMCAGTTAAGTGTCTCAGTGACTTTTAGGAGCCTACTTGCCAGGCACCCTGGAACGCTTCCAGGTGCTCCTGGCTCCGCAGGAGCCTTCTGGGAGGYGGGCATCTGCCCCTGTGGAAACATCCTTGTTGCTGGTTTTGCATCAGATTTTCTCCAAAGTCAGTGGAATTCTGTATCGCTTCCTCCCATAACTTTCCCCACTCTGTAACACTGTGATTGAGAAAAGGCTAATGAAAGGCATCGGCCCTGGGCTTCGTGCTCCAAGTCCTTGCTGGCTCTCGTGTCCTCGCAGCGTCACACAGAGCCCCAGCCCGGGCTCACGAGCTCATGGGAGTGGAGCAGCTCTTTGCTGAGGAGCAGGAAAGTCAATATTGTTATTTGCAAATAATAACAAAAAGCTACAAATATCACAAGTGAATCTTGAAGGGATAAATATTTTCCAAATAGAATTCCGGTGTACTACTTTGCTTGCTTTAGCAATCAAATATTGTAATTTCTTTCCTCAAATGATTTTATTCCAGCACTGGCTAGCGTAGGAGGCTCGCGCAGAGCGTGCAGTTCACACGGATTTGCCAATGGGGACGTGCTGCAAATGAGTTTCTCATCGGTATTGATCTCCCTTTGTGTATAGCACAGAAGCAAATTAGCTCAAGTGATTGACAAAGTAATTTGCCACAGTCAAATCAAAGTGTAATACAGGTGTGTTTCCTCATCTTGCACTGAGCAATTTTATGGAGGTTGCACTGTGCTGAAATCTGCTATATCATGTTTAATCATCTTTGATTGCTGATATTCAAAGCCATTTTTATGCTAGTAGTTATTGTCTTAGTTGCTAAGACAAGAATAAATAAATGACTGGAATGGCAATGCTGCTTTAGAGCCTGATAAAATTGCCTGCTTTACATCCTTGTCATGCTTATTCTAGCTTAATTTCTCATATCCCTGGGAGACTTTTTAAGAGGGTTATAGCCATTTAAAAATAGTTTTAAGGAGTAATGAAAAAACACGTCTATTTTCAGAAACAACTCCCAATGTGCAGTTGAGGTAAACAAATATTCCCAGTTTGGAGAGGCTCTCGTTTTGCAGCCTGGCTTTGCTGGAGGCCGGTTGAGAGCCAGGCCCAGGGGCCTGGGCCCCTAGAGCAGCGTGGGGACCCGCGGAGCCGTGCGGGGCTGGCCCGGGGGCGGGAATGGATCCCACTTGCCCTCGGCTCCTCCAAACCGCTTTGAAACACTGGGACACACATAGAGAACAACGCACTTAACATACATACGTAAGGTGGTCATGCACAGGTGGTGGTGCTTGCTACTGATTCTGGTTTCTACAACTTGGGATAATATTTTAAATGGACACTTTTCGGTAAATAAGCCCAAATTGTTTCCCAGGGTTGTAGTCAGCGCAATTAAATGCGAGTGTGCAATGGTTTCAGTGGGCATAGTGGAAGAGGCTCATACTTTCTTGAGGAAGATGGGCCTGACATACTTAAGGTTTTTGTTTTGGTTTTTGGCAGGGGATACCAGTCTCTAAAATCACTACATTTTGAACTGAAGAAAGGGATCATATTCCAGAGAGAATTTTTCTCACTGTACAGGAATAATTAAAAAAAAAAAAAATCAGTGGATTGTAAATTATTAATCATAGAAGTTAGAGCTGGAAAATGCCTATTAGATGAACCAGTCTCTTTGCCTGCTGCTGTGAGATTTAGTCCTCTGGCAGTGTCCAGACGAGATGCTCCAGCCTCCACTGAGCGCAGGGAAAAAAAAATCCCCTCGGCTTTTTATTTTTCAAAATAAGAGTTCATTTCCCCGGCAGCATGCAGAGGAAAACGTATGGACACAGTGCAGCTCACAGCCATTAGAGCGAATAAATACCCACGAACATCATGAATAATGTACTGCTCTCTACTTCGGCCTAAGCCAAATTTAGAAGGATTTTTCCAGTGCTGCGAGGCCRGCTTTAATGGCAAGAGGCAGCGGAGATGGGTGCGCAGGATCTTTTGCTGTGTCTGGTAGCTCTTACGTGGGAAGGTCGGTAAAAGCGGAGCCTTCTCGGGCAGCGAGGGAATTACAGAGGCATGGAGGGATTTGCTGTGGGTTGGAGCATTGATAGTGCGGCAATTAGGAACTCAAATTGAATATTAAAGATTGATAAGCATAATGGCAGCACTGCATGCGTTATTGCCTTGTCTTTCACGTTGAATTAACGTTGGTAACAACTAAAATTTGGGGAAGCTCAGAATCTGTCAACAAATGTTGAGCAATGGTGTCTTTAATATTCCCAGGCATGTGGCTGAAACCCTTTTGAAGGCTGAGGGGTGGAAGGCGCCTTCCTGTTTGTAAGTCAATTCTTTGCCAATTCTGTTTCCTGCAGTGCTCTCTTGGTAAAATTTGAGTTCCTTTATTAGCACATATCTTAGCATGGCTCATCTCCCCGCTCTTCAGTAACAGCAAAAAGTGACTTGATCTCTGACAGGTAACTGAGAGAGAAAGAAAAGAAGAAAAGGGGTTAAATGTTCTGGCATACAGGGGGCTGTTTGGTTAGTTGGGTTTGCCTGTTGTTTCTTTCTTTGGTTGGTTGTTTGCAAGCAGCCCAGGAGGGTGTTTGGGCAGGAGCTCAGCGCTCAGCAGCCCAGGACGTTGCCCCTTAACGGCGCTTTGTTTCGCTGCTGGAAACGCTGGCRTTTCCTGCACCTTGGGAGCAGGGGCGAGCTCAGGGGCCGCCCGCCTTGGGCACGGTCCCGAATGTGGATGTTTGGCTCAGACATCCGGAGGCTCCCGCGGATGCCCCTGTCGCCAGGCAGGTGCTTCRGCAGCCTCTGCCTTGAGCCTCCAGATGCCGCGAGCGGTGGGGCTCTTCGGGCTTCATTGCCTTTTGGCTTTGGGTTTCGCTTTGTTTTTCTTCTTCCCCTTCGAAAGGGGCCGAGATGATGATCCTGGTGCAGCCCCAGGCTTCCTTGGAGGTGGGTGGTCACCTCCGGGCTCGGGGAGCGGTTAAACTGTGCGGAATGTGTAAAACGGTGCCGATAGCGCGGGGCTGCAAATGCAGCTCCTGGGCTGCCCAGGGAAGGGAAGGGGCTGCTCTGTGCAAGGAYGAGCGCCGGCACGGTGCGTGGGCTCCATTTCCAGCAAGCACACRCACATCTGCACGTCCCTGCGCTTTGGGAGCTTCCCAGGTTCTCCCTTGGTAGCCTGGCCTCGCGTATGTAGGAACCTGGTTGCAGGGAAGGAAACCCGCTCCCTTTTCTGCTGAATGTGAAACGATGTCACCATGCTCAGTGCTTGGGATAGGGCCTTTTGTGCAAGAACAACAGGTCGGGGATGGAAGGGAAAGCGCAGAGCCTGGCACAGCCTGACAAAATCCTGCTTCTCTGTTCTGTTTGTGGCAGATGTTACCTTGCTGTGGAAATCTGGCATGCAAACCCATTTGAGAGGTTTTTACTTTGAATGTTTATTTACCATAAATAAAAAATCTCCCTTTGTTCATTTGTTTAATCAAACGGTCATTAAAAAATGAATGGCAACAACGCGCCCTTACTTAAACTCGACTCCTAGTGCCCAGCACCTGGATGTGACCCCCTGTGCTTGCCCGGCCCTGGCGCTGCCAACGTCTCCCCCGGCGCTCACAGTCTCCATCTCGCCTGCAGGTGCACGCCAAGTTCCGCTATCCTTTCTACTATGAGATGTGCTGGTATGTTCTGGAGAGATACGTGTCCTGTGTGACCCAGCGCTGCCACCTCAGCAAGGAGTACCAGCAAGAATCAATGTTAATTGGTGAGTGAATCCCTGGAGCGGGCGCGAGCACCGTAGGCTTGTGGCTGCTTTGGTTTCTGCCAAGCAGATTATAAATTAAATGGGAGAACTGGAGGAATTTCGGTGAATTATTTCTTTAGTTTTCGAGTGGGAAGGATTTGACTCTTCAGCGTTTCAACAAAGTGCCAACCGAGCTCAGATTTATTGAGCATTCCCATAGAAAGAGGATTCTGCAAAAATATTATTTGGAAGCATTTATTTCTTGGTTCCAGCACTGTTTGTGTTGAGATGGGCTGCCAAACAGTGAGGATTTACAGTCGTGTTTGGCATGGTACCTCAGTAGCCAGGAATGTATGCATTGCAAATATGCTTTGGGGGGTTGGTACTCGGTCCTTTTATAGTGCTTTGCATCTACAGAGTGCATCACCATCGCCCAATCTGGCTTCTTTCTCTTGAATCTCTTCTGCAGTTCCCTCAGGTCTTAAAAGCAGAAACAAAGAGGAAAACATAAACAAAAGCAAGAAAACACCCATACAAATCTATATGATCTATAATTTAAGTGCAAGGGAGSCCCCCTGCACTCCTAGGAATCCAGGTCCTTCACATCTTGTCCCTCGGTGCTGCTCCCATCCGAAGGGTCGGCAAGTTTTGAATTTRTTCCTTCCCAGCCTTTCAGCAGGGGGATGCGAGGCCAGCCTGGGGAAGGCTCATAGTGGTCTGGGGATGCCCATGAAGGACATCCCAGTCGAGTTACTGGTGCAGAGGCACTCGGAGCGTGCRCGAGGTCACTGGGAAGTGTCTAGAGGGGAGAGGGTTGTTCTGTGCAGCCAAAGGGCTGTCGGCTCCCAAGGCAGCGGTGAAAGGACCCTGACTGTTTGGAAAATGGTTCGGGGGCAACGTTGTCTAGGCCCTGTTGTCTCCTGTAGTGGTTTGAGTTGCTGGCTTCTGRGAAGGTGAAAATTAAACCGTTTCCCTGTTAACTGGGTATCTTTTCATGGCTGTTTTAGRCTAATGCAAGAGAGGAGCTGCCCTCACAGGACAATCCTGTTCTTGGGGGATCTAGTTTGTTCTTGGTGCTGCGGAGATGTCTCACGCTGACACCTAGGACCTTTCTCTGCAGGAGAGATGGATTTATTTATTTATTGTCAGATACTGCTTTTTATTCCTCGCAGGATCTTACCTTCAAATAATTATTTAGCTGGATCTCCTGTATCTTCTGAATCTATTTCTTTGGTATTTACCACGTTTTCTGCAGGAGTAAAGGTACATTATTTGCCCTTAGGAAGCCGTGCTGTTCTGTTCTGCTCAGGTAATACTGTTTCAAATATTTGCTCGTCCTTTCAACTAGTCCCAGGGTCTAGTCTCTTGACTCAGGATAAATCTCCATGAACTGTAATTCCAAGTAACAATTTGTTTGTTCTGTGGTGTATGTATCTTAATATTAAACTGACAGACTAGTAGATCCAAATGAAGTTACATAATAACACCTCATTCCTTCTTTTTTTAAGCTTTTCTTCAGAACTGTTCAAGCCCTTAAACTGTTACATGCTCCTCTGTCCCTTAGAGACTTCTCTGTCTGCAAGCAGCATCCTGATTTCCCAGGAGGGAGCATCCCTTGATGAAGAATTTCCYATTATCTTCCATAAAGAGCAAGGAAACAAAGTGCTTAACTTCTCTGCAGGCCCTTCATTAAACATTTAATTGTCTTCTGTCCTTCTTGGTCCAAGAAAAGTTTCTTCATATCTTTATATTCCTTTTCAGAAGTTTCTCTTAAATAGGCTTAACATTTATGACTGTTTCTTGCTTTTTCCTATTTTATTATATAATTTCTTGGATAGAATGTTTGGAGATTTACGAGGTGATGACTTCAGAGATCCCGCTCATCTATGTGCAAAAAGATTCCTGTGACAATAGAGATCATCCCTTCTTGGAGAACACAGAAGAATGAGTTTGTCATCATTTGGGCTTTATAGAGATGTTTATACTTTTTAATTTTATGTTTTCATTACATGGTGGTAGTTTACTTTGAGGTGAAGGTGGCCAAATTCAGAATGAGCCTTTAAAGATCCTGGCCACTCAGGAAAACACATTGCTCTGGGTCTGTTGTGATACCTCTATCAATTTATCATACACTAGGATAGCAAATTATATTGATCTCTGCATTTCTGCTTCCTAAGTATCTGGACCCAAAAACTTCAGGCAGAAACTTAACAGCTCTGTGGGAACAGACTAAAAGCTGGAGGGTTCCCAGTCCTTGAATGAAAAATGTCAGTGCTCCAGAGGGAGATGGAAGGAGAAGACCATGGCTCCCTCCCCATCCCTCAGTCCAGAGCTGAGGGGACCTCAGGCAGTTGCCTCCTCCTCAGTGTGTGAGACTGCTCTCTATTTTCTTTTCTCTTTCCCAAAGGGTGAATGCTAAGGGCAGTGATGATATGACAGCAAGTGCAGGCTGCTCTGAGAGCTCTCTCCCTCCCCACGTTTCTCTTCCCTGTCCATCTCAGCTCTGATGTTTGTCCTGTCAGCTGGAATCAAACACGGATCCCATTTGGCTTTCCTGCTAGGCTCGAACTGGTTCAGGATGGATGTGTCTTCATTATTTTTACTCTTATCGTGAATGAGTCTGTACTGGATGTTTTCAACCGCAATTGACCTTCAGCGAGATAGGGATCTGGAGAGGGAGCTGACAAAGAGTAATTGGGAGAAGATACCGGGCTATCAGAAATAGGCTTCCTCTGTAGCCTGCAGCTTTTAAGATTTCCACTGCTAAAATTTTAACAGGATGGCTCTAACTGTATGCTAAGCCTGGCGGATAAAGATATGCCCTCTGGGATGGCAAAGGAGCTTTATATATGTTTTTACCTCCTTCATCTTAGAGGATGGAGTGGATTCGCTTATTGATAGGACAGGTACTGAATTATAGCAAGTGATTTCCGTGTGGGATGCTCCRTGCTGGGTTGCACGGAGAAGAAGCTCAGCTTTTTCTGCTGGTGAAAACGTCGTTCCGGCCCTTAGCAGACAGCAGGAATCACAGGGCCGTGTTTTGGAACTGGGAACAGCAAGAGAGATATTACATGCTGGATTGTTGCAAAGAAGTTAAAAAGATTTCATAATTATATCTCCTCCACACTCTCTTTAAAGTTCTCTAATACAGTAAGCTGCTTCTCACCGAAGAAGAAAGCTGTGTGTAATTATCTGTCTTGTACGGGTGGGTAAACTGCAAGGAAAGTTAGGAGAATTGCCCCGACTCGAGGGAAGTCGGTTGCCACAGAAAGTATTTCTGGCTCTTTCCCTGTGGTCAAGCCCAGGTTCCTTGTTCTTATTGCCTGGTTTGGATAAGGTGGTTTTATTTTGAGATGGAGAGGGGTGAATGTCTGCGGGGGCTGTTTAAGCCCAAAGCAGATAAGCTGCTGAAACAAGGAGAGTTGCCTTAGCAGGACCTTTCTTCAGTGGCGAGACTTCATAAACCTTGAAGCTCAGGGCAGCGGAGCTCCGCTAGGACAGATTCAGCCCTTTGCTCGCTCCTTATCCCTAACCTGTAGCCTGCTGTAAAGCTCCTGTGGGGCTGAAACAGTTTGCACTGGTGGGACCTGCCTGGGCTTCCCAGCTGTTTATTTTTCAGAGCGTAAACCTAGTATAAAGGTAAGATCAATAATCCTATAGACTCAAACTTGCCTTCAGCTTTTCCTGAGGAGTACCCAGAATGTGCCAAGGACTGCATTAAGAATAACAATATCATGCAACTCTGGGCCACAACCTTTATTTTTCAGTGTTTTTAGTTGTTTTCTCTGCAGAGTAAGTGTAGTTGTACTTCCCTGTCTCAACGTTTTCTATAATATCCCTTCCCTGTAAACAAGTGGTAGCTCTTGTTTTACCAACAGTTGCTTGCAAAGAGTGCTGAGAAGTTGACTTTGCCTTGCACGGAATTCCTGGAAGAACAATGATGTTCAGCATTTTGATGTGCTTCCTCCTGTCATTTTTTGCTCTCCGTTTTCTGTATAAACCTTTCTTAGAGCTCTGCAGATTACAAATGTGGTCCCWCTTGGATTTACTGGAGATTAACTGAGTTAACTGTAGGTGACTTGCAAGCTCTGCCTACTCTTAATTGCAGGCATAGAGAATTGAATCTTTGGGAAAAACAAAAAGTGTATTTCTTTCCCTTAAAGTTTTCTCAGTCATTTGAACAGAGYAGACTTCAACAAAAATAAAACTGGCTGAATAAACTCAATTTCTGCTATTTTTCAGTGCCTTTCTAAATAGGCAGCTCCTAGAGCGGGTGGTAGGTGCATGTACGCTGGGAATTACGAATTACATTCTGCGTTCTTCTTCTAACTTTCAGATGCAAAAAGAAAGCGCAGCGTAGACAGCTATTCATCCGATTCGTGGTTAGACATGGATGAAGAATCCTGTGATGCCCATATCCGGGAGGAGAAGGAGGAYGGCTTGGATGTGAACGCCAAGTCCTTGGCGGATGGCTCCTCCTCGCCCAACAGCACCCACTCGGAAGGGAAGGAAGGTGCAGGGAGAAAACAGAAAGCTACAGCAATGCGATACCTAAAAAGAACTTTGTCTAATGAATCAGATGACAGCATAAAATCGACGACCCCCACGGACTATCCCAAAACCCCAACAGGGTCTCCAGCTACAGAAGTTTCAACCAAATGGACTCACCTCACGGAATTTGAACTGAAGGGTTTAAAAGCCCTGGTGGAAAAGCTTGAATCTCTCCCAGAGAACAAGAAGTGTGTTCCGGAAGGAATCGAAGACCCCCAGGCCCTCCTAGAGGACATGAAGGTGGGTGCGATAACGCGGCGGGCAGCGACCACAGTTTATACCTGACCCGTGGGGTCCCCGCCGGCCGTCACAACTATGTGCCTGGTGCCTAAAACTTTAGGTCCTTTCATAGTTCAGGGCTTGGTGCATCACAAATGTAAAGCATATCTGAGCCTATTTATAGGCCTAATCTGCCATTTTGGGTCTAGTCTCCTTGCAGAATATATCTGATTAACCAACACATGCAAAATATAAATACTTGCCATAATTCAGAACATCAATTGCCTCCTCCAGGTGCATTTTCTTTCCTCTTTTTTTTTTTTTTTTTT